TTTTTCTTTAGCCATTATTGCCAGAATTCCTATCTTCATCCCAGTGCTGGTGAAGTCAAAGATAAAACCAATCTACACCTTCTACAATAGCCATCACTGAACTGCTTGCAGAACTTGCCTGGACACATTGTGAGCTCACCTGTATGCATTTTGAACTATCTGTTGGTGCAGCGACTTGTGGTAGTGTTGGGGTATTTTTGCTGATGATGTCACCGGTGGTACAATTTTTCAAAGGAGCCCTCAATTGGCTTAATGTCATGGCATTTTGCATCCTCCTCTACTAGTGATGGTCTAAAATTTGGGGGCCAACAGAGGTGAGGCAAAGAACCTCACCCCCCCACTGGTGCAAAGGCCTATCCACAAGTATAGCTGTATGCTGGACCGGTAGTCAGTGACGGGTATGATCCAATTGCAGTGGTACCAACCTAAGACAGGAGGCTGACGCCTAGAGGTCAGTTCATCCGATGACGGGTAAGGACCATATGTTGAATTGGACTGCCTAACAGGCACGGTCCCTAAGCCACATGCTTGTTGTTTAAACAGAGAGGGGGAGATGTTGAGAGCCACAGCCGAAGGGGCCCCAGCAAACTTCCAGCTGCCAGCAATCCAGCTGCCGGCTGATGATTGGCTCACAGCGGCCCCAGCAACATCTAGCTGATTGGCTCCTCGGCCCCAGCAACATCTAGCTGATTGGCTCCTCTGCGGTGATGCTCATTGGACTGTTTCCCTGCCCTTTCAGACCACGGAGCTGCTCATTGGGGGACTTTTTGGCTCTGCCCACGTGACCCAGCCAATCGGCCTCAAGAGCAGGAGGATTGTGGGAGGTGGAGAGAAGCTTTTGGGGGGGGAGAGACAGGCTTGTGGAAAGCCGGTGGTGGCAGTTGAGGCTCTGAGGGGTTTTTCCTGAGAGGCTGTTTGTTTGGCGTGTTTTGTTCTAAAAATAAAGTTAGTTTCTTTTGACAAGTGGCTCCTGATTGTGCCCAGCCAGACTGCGGCACTAAGTACACTGTAATTATCAAGTATATTATCCAAACTTAGGTAACAATTAAATGAAGCAAATGTTCTTCCACAGTAAATTCAATATTAAATAACAGAGACAGAACAACTCTTGGGACTTTTTAAAAAAGAGACTGGCAGGATAACATTTATATAAATACTCTATCTTTAACATGTTTAAAGCCATTCTAGCCATCTTTTTTAGTTGGAGGCAAATTATGCAGTAATATCGAGTGACACTAAATCTGTTTCTGCAATAATATGAAGTTTTGAGATATAACTTCTTCACAAAAATGTGATCACAGAAAAAAAATGTGAACTTTGATGAATTCTTTGTTTTTTGAGAATTGTCTTGAGCATCAAAGTAAACAACTGAATATGACATAACCTCACGCATCCTTTCCCTAAAAAGGGAGGGGGGCACTGGTTTACCTTTGATTGACTATTGCCATATCCTAACGTCCTACTTATTAATATTTCTTCCTAAAAAAGAGGTGGACAGAAGACAAAGGCCCTCCTCAAAGTTATACAGTCCATTTCTTTAACAGATTTTTTTTTTTTATAAAAGGGAGAATTATATTTAGGTTATCAAAAAAAATTCTTTAAAAAACAATGAGAAGATATTATTTAAAAGATGAGGATATACTGACATATTGAATACATATAATGACAGAAGATGGATCTTTAGAAAGTCCTATGTATTATGTATCATCATAATCCCACCAATAATTCAGGTAAGTATCTTGTTACACTTTCTTTCATACTCATCCTGTGAGGGAGAAAATGCAGTTTGATATTATCAACTGCAATTAAAGAATCTGAAGTTCAAAAATTAAGTACTTAGACTTCCATTTTTCATTTGGGCTAAAACAAGTAGAAAAGCTGGACAAAATATAAACAGCAGAATAAAGTCAGTGGAGAGCTGAAGGCTCAACTTTTCATTTCTCTGGTTGTATACGATGTAGAGGCGTACCATATGTGCAGTCATACATGTACCTAGGGTAATGATGGCCATCTCATTTCACCATCTTTTCTGTCCCCAAGCCCCCTCCTTCCCTCCTCACCACTTTTGCCCAATCAAAGTTCCTCCATAGAATTTCACTCTTTTTATAGTTTTAACATCTTTACCAAATTTCTCAATCCTTTCTTTTCTGTATTTGACCAAAGTACACATGGTTATTTCTGTTACTGTGGTCCCCTAACCTTGTGTACTTGGATATTTTTCATTAAGTGTTGAACATTATATGGACTGTTGGTAGAAATAATTTGAGTCCTAGAATAATACTATCTTTTTCAAAAGAGAATCTACATTTGTTTCTACCAGGTTATCAAGGGCATTAACTAATCTGTCATTTTGATATTCAGCTGATTTGAAGCTGAGCTTTAAGTCCCTTTGAAAATGGAAACTACTTCTGTATTCATCCTTATTCTAAGATAAAACCTACCAGGGTTTCAACACAGATTAAGGGAGTTCACCAGGCCCACTAGACCTCCTAAGGATGCTGTTGTGGTAATTCCTACATTTAATCTATTCCTGAAAGCTGACTTAAAAAGAAAAAATAAGTCCAATTTTTATGTAGTTGGCTGTAGCAGAAGGGCTGGTCCTAATTACCCAGGCTACCATATTTAAAAGATGTTTCCCAAGAAAAATAAATCAACATTGTGGGAAGATTTCCTTCTTTTAAAGGACAAGAATCCTGGTAGTTATTGTCATCACTATCCAATAACAGGTAAAGATTACCTGTTTCAAAAGGTATTTTCCCCCTTACCTGCTATTGCTTCAATACTTGGAATTGCAATAGTGCTATAAGTATTGATTCTCTTAGAAGACCATGTATAAACCAAGGAGTCCTCTGAATTTTCCGGTCGTGAAACTGAATCAATAAAAAAGGAGCCCCATTTTTCAGAAAAGGTATTTAGAAGTTTTGTCTTTGGTACCTGAAAGAAGAGAATGGAATAATAAATGTGATTAGTAATGAAAACTGTGGTAAATTAATCACATAGTTTTGTTTTTAAGCAAATTGAGAAAAAAAATCCTGTAGGAATTATAAACAGGCTTTGGGTATGCATTACATTTTTGGAAAGAAATAGTACTTACTATAAAGCATCCTTTATCTCAAACTAGAATGATCTTTTTAAATAATTAGTTGATTATAGTATTAAACCTACCCCAAACAGAGCAATCTAGAAAGAATGTTTTCTCTACAACTAAAATAAATCTTTAATTATTATTGTTGTATCTAAAGGATAGTTAAAAATTTTCTTTTTTTTTTTTGGTTGGGGGTACCCAGGATTGAACTCAGGGGCACTTGACCACTGAGCCACATCCCCAGTCCTATTTTGTGTTTTATTTAGAGACAGGATCTGAGTTGCTTAGTGCCTCACTGTTGCTGAGGCTGGCTTTGAACTCCCGATCCTGCCTCAGTCTCCAGAGCCTCTGGGATTATAGGCATACACCACTGTGCTTGACTTAGTTAAAACATTTCTAATTTTTAAATTTGGTGTTTATTTTTTTAAAGGGGGATGAGGATAGAATTATTATTTACTGCTTCCAATGTACGTATAACATGAAACCAATAACTGAATAACAAGTTTCAAGGTACTATCGTTTTTAAAAAAAGTATAGGGGATACTCAGTAATAAATTTTCTGTTTTTTTCTAGGGCTGACCATAATCCTTTATCATAGAATTTCCAAAGGGTGATGGCCATATCCAGGTATAATTCTAAATAGTATTTATTTCTAACTTAAAAGCCAAAAAACTATTCACCAAAATAAAGAATAAAAATTATTTTCATTTTAGTACAGAGTCATCAAACATAATGGAGTGCAACTTCAGAGAATAATACTGGTCTGTTATATTTTTCTAAATTAGCTCATAGTAATGTCTCAGATTATATTATTGTATCAGTAAATCAATGTAAAAATAGAAACTCAGTTTTATCTGTCCGATAGCTTTACATTGGTATCTCACCATTGTTTCAATTGTACATTAGGCATTACTAGTGAGCATGGTTGTCTCCTCTTATATACAAACTTTTCCCCTCAGTCAACAGCCTGATATCTTTTGTCCTATTTCACACTGAGTATCTGAGTTTAGCCCATTGTCAAATCCCTTAGATATCAACCCATTGTTAGTTTTATCAGGTTGGATCATATTAAGGTGTAGTATTCACCTGTTTTAACATATAAAAATAGCAATTTCATAAGGTTCAATCTAAATAGATATTGCAAGACTCTTTCCCTTGAATTAGGTCCAAAGATCAACCGTATCCCAGGTGTCTTGAAGAGAACTATTTAATACTGATGCAAAGTCATCAGTTTTTCTACTTATTATTGTCCTTTGAGTTATAATTTGAAAAAAAATTATTTCCTACAATGAGGATGAAAAAAATACTTTCAAAATTTTCTTCAATCAAGTTTTATAAATATATTTTTTATGTTCAGGTCTATAATTCCTTCAGAATTTATTTTTATATATAGGATGTAAAAGGAGATCATCTTATTTTTTTCCATATAATGAAACCACTTACTTAATCCTACTCTCTGAATTGTTCAACCTTTTCTGCTAATGGACAATGTTCTGCCATACCCACATTTATATGGGCCCGTGTCTTTTTTTATTCCTTCCATTCACTGAAATTTTTATATACAGGTTACATATTCCTTATCTGAAATGCATGGGATAAGAAGCATTTCAAATTTGGGAATATTGGCATAGACTTTACTGGTTAAGCATCCCACGTCTGAAAATCCAAAATTTTTTTAGTGTTATATTGGCATCAAAAAGTTTCAGATCTTTGGAACATTTCAGATATTTTGGATTAGAGATGCTTTCCCATTATGGTTTCAGTACGAGTTTTACCCCCAAAAAGCTCATGTATGAGATAATGCAGGAAAATTTAGACGTGAAATGACTAGGTTATATGAGGGTTAACCTAATTGTGCATGAATCCCCTGACAGGGATTAACTTGGTGACAACTATGGAGGCAGGTGGGGTATGGCTGGAGAAGGTGGTCATTGGGGTGGGCAGTGTGCCTTTGGGGTTTATATTTTGTTCTCAGTATGCTGAGCTCTCTCTCTGCTTTCTTAGCTGCTTTCCTCCACCACACTCTTCTGCCATGATGTTTCACCTCACTTTGGGCTCTGAGGAATGGAGTTGGCAGTCTATGGAGTAAGACCTCTGAACCATCAGTCCCAAAATAAACTTTTGATTATTTTTGTCAGGTCTTTTGGTTCACAGTGAAAACATTGTCTAAAAAAATGTTCCATACTCTGTTTCCAGTACTAGATAAAAAAAAACAAAAAACAAAAAACAAAAAACAAAAAAAAACAACAGTCTGGTTTTCTACTATGGTTAGCGTCTGATGGAGTAAAATTCCAATCTTTTATTTTTTTTTTTTCAAAGTTGTCTGAGCCATTTATGGGTTTTAAGTTTTCTAAATGCAAAATCAGTTTGTGAAGATCCATTTAAAATCCTCCTGGGATTTTGTAAAACATTATATTGACTTTATAAATAAATGTGAGGAAAAAAGTCATCTATAAAAATCATGCTTTTGCAAATATGTCTTTCCATTTATTTAGAACTGTATTCAAAATTTTTTAAAATATTTTTTTTAGTTGTAGATGGATGCAATATATTAATTTATTTATTTTTATGTGGTGCTGAGGATCAAACCCAGTGCCCCACATGTGTGAGGCAGGTCTCTACCACTGAACTACAGCCCTAGCCCTTATATTCAGAATTTTTAATAGGCTTAAAATTTACATCACTAAGGTCTTATATGTTTATTAGGTTAATTCCTAGACAGTGATTTATTTTTGTTGCTATTGTAAATAATCTGTTTCTTACCACATTTTGTTAAGTGATTCCTGCTGGTAAAGAATATGGCTGTTAGTTTTTGAATGCCAATTTGGATCTAGAATTCTGACCAAACTCACTCATTCGTTTTAATAGTTTGTTGATTTATTCTATGCTAAGGATCACACAACCCTAAAATACTGATAATTTTAATCTTACTCCATGTTTCTTTCTTCTTTTTTTTTTTTTTCTTGTAGTATTGGCCAGTTCTCTGTTATGCAGTGTAACTGATAAACAGTATCCATAAAGAACCTTAAAGGGCAGTATGGCTTTGGCTTTTCCTTTTTTTTAATTCCACCATTACATGTTACATTCCCAGTGGTGTTTTGGATGATATCCTTCTCTAATTAAGAATGGTCTCTTTTCTTTCTTGCTTGCTAATTATTTTCATCATTAATTTTGTCAGACACAGTGGTGCACAATTGCAATCCCAGCAACTTGGGCAGCAGAGGCAGGGGGATCACAACTTAGCAAGGCCTTAAGCAACTTAGCATGTTCAAAATAAACAATGATATAGCTCAGTAGTAAAGGACCTTAGAGTTCAACCCCTCACTTGTTTTTAGTTAAAATGAAAAAATAAGTAAGAACAGTACTGAAGGAAGTTGAAGAAGAAAGCTCCTCTTCCTTTGACATAGGAGGCTAGTTACACAGAGTTAAGGGTGTCCAAGTAATTATAAGTATAATGTTATAAGACTTGATTTATTGATTATTTGTTTCTAATGTTTAAACTAAAGAAAATTATTCCTTATTTTCTTTAGCTGGGCTTACTTAAACATTAAAATGTGCCATTTTGCTGTTTTAATTTGTTCTAAAATAGTGGAGGAAATAATCAACTGATGTACCATGATTTTAGAAAGTTTTGGGCAACAGTCTGTAAAATTCCATTTGAGATTTTTCCCAGTCCTTATCTTAAGCTTCCTGTCACAAATGAAGGGAGGTGAAAGTGATCCTCAAATTCTCTATGCTCTTATATAGAATGGAAACAACTACCAATGTCTGATAAATTGAATTCAAACCTAAAATGAAATAAAATGTTAATCTTTGCAGAATGTAGTACATGTAAATGTTTTGGTTTCCAGGATCAATTTTGAAATGATCTGGTTAATTTGATTTTAATTATATTTTTCAAACTTCACTTAGGTTGAATACGGTAATTAGAAACACAGAATTAAATCCTTTTGCATCAGACTTTGAACCTGTCAAAAGATAGCATCTTATATGTATCCTGTGCTTGACATTTGTTTGGAAAAACTAAACTACACTTTTCTTAACAATCACAAAATATACAGAACTCACACAATGCTTTCTTTTTATCTTTCTTTATGGACTGTTTCCTTCCTGCTGCAGCGGTCAGCAAGATGTTTATATTCTGTCCCCTCCACAGGGAAGCAGGAAAGAATCTGAACTCTCATGAGGTGCAGTGCTTACTGCCTGTTTTGAAGTGCTGCTCTGGTCTTCTCCATGGAAGTGTGCTGTGCAGAGAACAGACCTGGACTTATATATATGTATTAAAGCAGCCTGACTTTTATAGGTTTGCGTCAAAAATGTTTGTTACAACAACAAAACAAAACCACGTAACTGTCTCATTTGTCTTTAAATACAAGTAGAAAGACACATGTCAAATTTTCCATGAAACAGGTAATACAACTAAATTTGCTTGAAAAATCTGCTAAGGACCATTAATACACACTGTTTCAAAAACAAACTACAGAAGCATGAGGACATTCAGTCAGACCAGGAGACCTGTGAAGTCAAGTAGTATAAAGATACTTTAGATTTCAAATAAAATTTTTTTCTTTCAGGAAAAGAGTGAAAGGGATGCTTACCTCATATTTTCCTCTCTTCTCCAGAGGCTCTGACTCCTCAGGCTTCCAGGCTTCCTCTCCTTGGAGCTCCTCTAGAATGAGGACTGTCTCCCAGTTCCTATAGTGACGCGCTGGGAAAACATCTGAATGCATGCTGTCACCAAAGTAAACAACCTGTAAGTCAGACAGCAAATTCTGTTTGAGGCATGAGAACTGCGACAGTGGTCATCATTTCATGGAAGGCAGAAGAAGGGCAAAAGCATCTTACATTTCTTTGAATAACCTGGCAACTGACCACTGACGTGTCCCATTGATTCACAGAGGACCAAGTTCATGTTAAGAAGTTATACAACCCACTTGCAGATAGAAAAAAGGTAGAAGGTGAGATGAATAATTTTATTCAGTTTTCCTACAGAAGACGTGAACCTGTGTGTTTTGTATACATTTAAATCTGCCCTTAGAACTGAAGAGCTGGTGATATATTAAAGACAACTTGTCACAGTGGGTTGCAGATTGTGAAGGGTGCACATCACAACCACTCTTCAAGAGTTTCTGGGACCCACCCCAGATCTGCTGAAACAGAACACCTGAGAGTGTTGCTGGGCTTGAAATCTAGAAATCTCCATAGATATTCTAAAGCAAAAGTCCCATGGATCTAGTCCACACATTTCAATCTGCAGATGAGAAAATGAGGTTAAGGGATAAGACCTAGAACCTCTCAAATCAAGATCCTTTGTCCATGGAACTCCTTAGGGGTCCTTGGGAGCTGCAGCAATGTGGGAGCCAATGGTGCAGGGTTCAGTTACCCAATTATCTCTTCTGCTCATGGAGCTACCGGTGAATATTTTTTAGAAGAGTACTCTGTTGTGAAAAATACACCAATGTTCAACATCCGCAATGTGATCAAGATATCAAAAGCAGTGGGTCTTTAGGATAATCTGTAGTATAATTTCAGTTTGGATTTGTTTTACATATAAAACCTTTTTTTGTTATCAGGATTATCATTCCTCAGGCATCCCATATATGAATCCCATGCACTCCCTTGATGTGTGGCTGCCTGCTTGGAAACCTTACTCTTCTCTGTCTCAGATAAAGACCAGGTCTATATCAACAAAGAAAAGGCTTATTGTATCAGCAGAGGTAAAAAGAGGGCTATGGCAGCTGACAGAGGGAGATGATTTCATAGATAATTAACCTGAATGCATTTATAATTGGGGTTTTAGTTTACAACTCTTTATATCTGCAAGAGGACATTAAGGATTCTGAATCAGAAAATACCTTGGGTTCAGGTTTGCCAGTCATTTTCTTCAGAAGTTCATAAAGGTGTACAGCGTTCCCTTGAGAGTACCAGCCAGGTTTATCCAGAGATGGCAACACCTCCTGTTCTTCATCATTCTCTGGAAATACAGTTTGTCCATCATATACTTTTTAATCAAGTGAGAGTATTCAGTCAGGCAGGCTGTACGCAGGGCATGGCCGTAGGTCTCATGTAACAAGGAACCACGTGGGGAAGGAGACTGCATTCTGTGAGCACTTAGTGGAAGCACTTCGTGGGCCTATACATTATTAATCCTCACTGTGATCCTCTGAGTTGGAGGAAATAAGGCTCAGGGAAGTTATTTCACCTAAGATTTTAAAGCTGGTAAGTGATTTATTCAGTGATGAGATAGATTTATGCTTGATATTATGCCCCTGCTTTTGCAAAATGGTTTATTAAGCAAACAACATAATAGAAACCATTAAGTCCTATCTTTTCGGAACTGGGTGTGGGGAAATATATTTTTATTGTAGTCTATTCAATCTAGGTTTACATTTTGCACTCTAGGTACCTCTATTATTTTACCCTAGTCTCAGCTTGGGGTGGGGAAAGGAGTTGGTAAAAGGGTTATCTGACACCAAAGGACAAGTTTGTGGATAATTCCAAACTGTCCCCTTCCAGCACATAACTTGCTCCCCAGATCCAGTTAATGCAGGGCTGGTGAAAGTCTAAGAAGATTCAGCACATTCCTTAGAGAAATACTCCCCCAAAAGTGATAACTTCTCATAATGTCTTTGTTTAGAGCAGAAAGTCTTATTGTACTATGTAAATAATAAGGGTTTAAAAAATGAATAATTTACACACACACACACACACACACACACACACACACACACACACGGTGCTGGGGGTTGAACCCAGAGGTTGATGAATGCCATGTTAGTGCTTTACCAATGAGTTACACTCTTGGCCCTACATAAATAGTTTTGAAAGAAGATTTACATTTGACATGTAAATATTCTTTACAATTAGATATATACACTAAGACATCACCATCACTTAGTTGCTAATATCTGTCAAATGATGTTTTTTTCCTTTTCCTTATTATTATTTTGCTTATTAAAAATGAAAAAAAAAACCCAAATTCTATAGACTACAGTTCCTCAAATGTTGGGACTCAGTAATCTAAGAAGCAAGAGAAAGAAAGGAAAAAAAAAAACTAAAAAGAAAAAAAAAAGAGAAACCAAAACAAAAACCCTCTTGATAAAACATCCACCCCTCCCTCTTTCCAAAAACTTCACTGAAAGCTACTTTTAAGGGTAATTAATCCGTGAGGGCAGCTTCAAAGATTCTGACAGAAGCTCCACACCTAGGAGCTCAGAAAATTAATTCCAGTAGAAGAGAGCCAGCCAGGCTGCTGAGAGCAACAGGGCTGAGATAGTTTAGAAAAACAAATTCAGGAGATGTTAAGCACAATTTCATTTATAAATCCAAATATTTTCACACTATTTAAACAAGGCATCACATTTCTTTTCAAGGCCTACAGGATGTAGTTATACGCACTTCTGTTTTCGTATCACAGAAAAAAAAAATGTGTCCTTCAAGAAGTACCAAGAGTATACTAATTTTTAAAAGCTTAATTAAAAATGTTAGATGATGGGCTGTGGCTGTGGCTCAGGGTAGGGCACTTGCCTGGCATGTGTGAGGCACTGGGTTCGATTCTCAGCATCACATATAAATAAAATAAAGGTCTATCAACAATTAAAATTTAAAAAAATGTTAGATGATAATAAATAGAATAGAAAAAAGTAAAAGAGGACACAGGGGACAGAGGGTGATTATGATTTGTTTTCTTGGTTTTTAAAACTCGGATAATTCAATGCTTAACTCCTAGAGGAGTTGTATAAATAAATTAATACAGATGAAGCACATGGAACAGTATTGGCCACACAGTATTTAAACATATCTTAAAAATCTCAGAACTTTTCTCCCATTGTAAACTTTCTGGTTTTTTTTTCTTATTTTTGCTTGAACAGTAAGAAATTTTTCAAGTAAAATACTCATTTGTATAAGGACTATAACAGAAAAATGATACTACTAAAGAAAATAGTTTACTGATGAGTTGGAGCAAAGTTAATAACATAGAAAGCAAGGTTCTTACCCTTCAAAACTTTGGGTTTGGGGGTTTCCTATTTGTTCATAATTTTTAAAATACTAATAGCTATGAGCTCCTTTGAGCTATGTATCTTTTCCTTCTGTTTCAATATGCTTATTTACCTGCTCATTTCTGGGCCTATTATAATGGGAAGTTAATTTCTTTACAGGACAAGAATTTTCAATTAGATATATACACTAAGACATCACTTAGTTGCTAATATCTGTCAGTGGTAGTATAGAGACCTGCAGACAGGGCTGTATTCAATGCCTATTTGTTTAGAAGCTGTGGCTTTGTCAAAATGCTAAACTTGGTACAAATTCAAGCAAATCAACAAATAAGCCATAGTCAAACATTCAGATTAACGAATGAATTCTTAACTGTACACTACGGATTGGGACTCTTTCATTCAGCAAGTTTTTAGTGTTACTGGCACTATGCTGGAGACACACAGCTGGCATTACCTGGCTCTCTACCACTAGGATTAATAATTTTCTGAGCCACATAGAATCCTAGCTAAGGAGGTTCTGTCAGAACCCTTGAAGCTGCCCTTGTGGATTAATTGTCCTTCAAGGTAGCTTCCAGTGCAAGTAGCTGGTGACAGGGAAGAGAGTGAACATTTGCATAAAGGGTTTTCTTTTGTTTGTTTGTTTGTTTTGGCTTTTCTTCTTCTTTTTCTTTCTTTCTTTTGATTTGAAGATTACTGAGTCTCAACATTTGAGAAAATATAATTCTATAGATTTTGCTTTATTTTCTTTTCAAATTAGGAAAAAAGAGCATGCTAAGAAGGGAGGGGGATTCATTGTATGGTTATAAGTACTTTAGGTTTCATGGGACTTGCACTCTGGGGTGTGCAGAATATGGAGAACACAAGGCTTATGTTATGTAGGTCAAGGAAATGTGAAGCACAGCTGCTATCTTCAGGACTCACATCCCAGTGAGGAAATTCCCCAGATAACTTCCCCTTTATAACCAAGTGAAAGGCACCAACAAACACAGAGAGGAAATGACTGCCTGGAGCCAGAGGAAGGAAGTACAGAAAGGAGGTTGTCGGTGCTTGCCTCCAAGCAGGGGTAGAAAGTCATCAGATAGAGGAGAGAGAGGAATTCCATATTTATCCTTGTTCTTCAAATAATATAGAAAGCGAGATTCTTAACTGATCTTCTGACCAGTAGCATCTGCCTTACTATAATATTTGTTTAGAAATGAGGAATTTTAGGCTTCACTAGGACCTACTGAATCAGAATCTCCATTCTAACAAAATCCCTGGGTGATTTATATATATATATACTAAAATCTCAGCAACATTGACAGAGAACAGCAGGAGCAAAAACATGCTGAATAAAGAATAATAAAAGGTAATCATTCCAACAGGGGTGGAATAATGGGCACCTGTAGTGAAAAACAGACTGAGGAGGATGAAAAGAATTTAGCAAGGAGATTGCAGAATTAGTTTTAGGATGCTATACCGAATGGAAAGTTAATGAGATTCTGTGTGCACATGATTAAATATACTTTTTTCACTTATAAGTGAATTCCATAAAAGATACTGAAAAAGTAAAAAGTAAGTGACAAAGGCATGTCCATGTTAATAAAAGGTATTTGAAGAGAGGTGGGGAGGAGTTACAAGGTCCAGTGGAAAGAAAGAGGAGGGCAGAGATGAGAGATTTCAAAGGTAGATTAAACAGGTCTGAAGTCCAGCATACTGTATGTGAAAGAATAAAGATTTAACGGATGGTTAGGTGAGTATGATAAGGCACAAAGGTGACCAGTATGCCTGGCTGCATTTGGTTTCCAGATGAAAGGAGATTATCACAGTTGATTTCAGAACACTGAGTGGAGCTTTCTGATGTGCAGGAGAAAACACTGAGATTCAAGACAGGAAGTCTCAGCTAGGGAAAGATCGAGGTGGGGTGGGGGTGGGGGTGGGGGTTTGGAATGTGGATGACAGCTGAGGCCAAGGGACAGCACAGTGGCTCATGACTCCCACAATGGCGGGGAGTGGGGTGGCAGCCTTGGGGACAGGGCAGTGAACAAGACAGACACGATACCTTTCCCCAGTAGAAGTATAATCTTGCCAGGCAGAGATCCTCCCCTTACCCCAAACCTTAGTACTGGAGAGGGCAGAGGTCTCACAGTGCACGCAGCAGGGAACAGGGAGGGTCTTAAGGGTCAACAGGGATGTGGCTAATGGAGGATCTGAGTCTTCACCCGCCTGGCCACCAGCTCTTCCCTGGTCACCATGACAACCACTGATATTATGCATGTGGAGCTCATGAAGGACACATTGTGCAAGGTGATTGGCTCACTGCACCTTATATCCCAGCATGCTTACCAGCCTGGATTTTATCCCTCTGACTTTAACCATTTGCAAGGACGGTTTAATTTACACACCACTGGAGTTTATAGCTTTGGGCAGAGGAGACTTGCTTTCACAATAACTGCCACACAGATGGCTTCAGGGCTACAAGGCAGGATGGAGGCTGGGACTGATAACCCAGACATGATGTAATACTGTACCAATTCATACAGGAGATGATAAAGGCAGTGTTAGTGATGATAAACCTGAGAGGACAGAAAGGGGAGATGTGAAGGGGAAAGAGGAACTGGAAGATGACTCATTAAGATCTGTGGTTGGAAAAGTTACTAATGAAATCAGGGAATGAAATCAGAAGAGCATGCTAAGAAGGGAGGGGGATTCAGCGTAAGGTTTTAAGTGCTTCAGCTTTCCTGCGACTTGAGCTCTGGGGTGTGGAGAATATAGAGGACAGAAGTAGGCATGTGCAGATCAGGGAAAAGTGAAGCAGAGAGGTAAGGAATTGAGAGTCATTAGTGAACAGATGATAGTTAAAACCATCTGAGTGGTAGAAAGCTAAAGTAACAACAGAAAAAAGGAGAGCCACACACAGAATGCTGGGAATAATTAACATTTAAAGAGAAAGGGAAGGGAAACCAGTAGTGTAAACCTAGATCAAGTAGTTAAGAGACAGGTGAGAATCAATCATCAGCAAAATAAACACCACAACCAAACATAATGAACTAGAGATTTTTTTTTTTTTTTAATATAAGCAGCACCATCCTCTAATAATTGCTCTGGCAATCTTCTTTGTGCTCTAAAAGGGAAACAACTATTTTGTATTAAATCTAAATCCTATGTTTAATTATATCTTCCTTTTAAATATTTTAAATTGGAAGTCCAGAAAATCAAGGCTCAAAAGAATACAAGACAGAGCTGGCATTGTATTCAGTGGTGGAGCGCTTGCCTCGCATGTGATAGGCACTGGGTTCAAAAAAAGAATATAAGACATCTTCTAGGACCTCCTGGATGTGGGGGGCGGGGGAAAGCTTTTCTAAACTCTGTACATAAAACATGAGGTCCCATATATTCTGAGGTCCCGAAGCCATTTTATAGTGGTCATAACTGGGAACAGTAACAAGACTTTGAGTTCTACCTTATCAATCCTGACTTTTCATTTCTCAAACAGCAAAATAAAAACTTATAAAAACTTGGCTTTTATAAGATTTTCTGGATATGACCCAAATCAGAGGCAACAAATCCAAAAATAGACCTAAAGAGATTACATCATATTAAAAAGCCTCTGCACAGCAAAGGAGATGATAGAGTGAAAAGACAATGTAGGGAATGGGAAAATATATTTGTAAAGCCACATATCAGATAATGGATTATATCCAAAATATATAAGAAGTAAAACAGTTCAATAGAAAACAAATAACAAAATAAAAATGGGCAAAGAATTCAAATAGACATTTCTCTGAAGAAGATAAAATGGACATGTATAATATCAAAAAATGTTCAACATCACTAAACATTCGAAATACAAATTAAAACACAATGAGATATCACCTCCTTTCTGTTAGAATGACTTATTTAAAAAAAAAAAGATGAAAAATAACACACATTAGCCAGAATGTGGAAAAAATGGAAAACTTGCATATTGTTAGATGTTGGGTGAAATAAAATTAGTACAGTCATTATGGAAAATAGTGTAAAGGTATCTCCAAAAATTAAAAATTGGGCTGGGGGGAGAGCTCAGTGGTAGAATATATGCCTACATATGCGAAGCTCTGGGTTCAACCCCTAGCACCATCAAAATAAAATTTAAAATAAATAAATAGATACAGAACTACTGTATAATCCAGCAGCCCCAATACTGAGTATACATCCATTGGATATGAAATTAGCATACTGAAGAGCTATCTGCATTCCTATGTTCATTACAGCATTATTTATAATAGTCAAGACATAAAGTCAACCTAAATGTCTCTCAAGAGGACTAAAGAATAAAGAAGATGTGGTACACACAGTCATCCCTCAGTTTAATGGAGGACTGGTCCCAGGACCACCCACAGAAGTTCCTTCTATAAAAATTGCGTATTTGCATATAACCTATGCACATCTTCCCATATATTTAAAATCACCTCTGGTTTATTTATAACATCTAATAAATGTAAATGCTATGTGAATAGTTGTTATCCTGTATTTTTTAGGCAATGACAAAAATCTGCATTGTCTGTACAGATGAAATGTTTTTGAATATTTTTGATCTGCAACTGGTTATATCTGAACATGCAGAGGATCAACTGTATACATAATGAAATACTATTTGGCTTTAAAAAATAAAAAGAAATCTTGTTTTTTTGTGTGAAAACACAAATAAACTGGTAGGACATCTTGTTAAGTGGAATAAGCCAAACACAGAAAGACAAATACTACATAATCTCACACATGGAATATAAAAAAGCTGAATTTACATAAATAGCAAGAACAGTGGTCACTAGAGGCAGGGAAGTGGTAGGGCTGCAGAAATGTGGTCAAAAGACACAAAATTTTAGTTGGATGGCAGGGAAAAGTTCAAGATAGTTATGGTACATCATTAGTTAATAACAATGTATTCTATATTTGAAAATTACTAAGAGAATAGATTTTAAGTGTTCTTATCACACACAAAAATGGTAAGTGTGTGGGCTAATGTATATTGTTAAATAGCTTGATTTAGCCATTTCACAATACATACATATGTCAAAACATCATGCTGCCCATGGTAACTATGCAAATTTTACTTGTCAGTAAATTAATAAGATACAAATTACATTTAAAGAAAGTGGAATTCAAATTAAAAAAAAATAAATTTTGCTGTCCCAAGCTAAACCACCAAAATCTCACCTGGGACACTGTAATTGCTTGGTCTTCCTCTTTCTCTCCATCTTTCCTGGCAACCAACAGATTCTCCATCCAGCAGCCAAAGTGACATCTTATCACTCTCCTGCCTCAAACAACTGAGTAGCTACAGATTGCTTCCACAGCCTCTGAGGCTGCCTGCCTCCTTAACTTCATCATCTCCCTTCCCATAACTGTGTGCCAGAATGACATGCTGCCTCTTTGTCACTGAAATACAACAAAACTATTCTCCTAGTAGGCCTGTGCATTTGTTTGTTCCACTGCCAGGAACCCCCTTCCTCTGCTCTTCTTATTACTTGCCTCTCAGGACCCACCTTGAACATCACCTTACCTCATCTTTTTGGACACGCCTTCACTGGTCAACCATTAAACCCATCAGGTAGTTTTTACCTTCACAACACTAACCAGAGTCTGTAGTTATCCCTCACACTTGCTGAGGTGTTATGTGCTTCCACACCCATGTGGTTCACTGAGGGTCCCTCATACTTGACACTTGCTACACTAAACCTAACTTGGCTTTTACTGTTCATGAGCCACTACTGAGAGAGTACTGAGCTACTGTCAATCCAGTGGCACTGAACAGGCTTTGGAATAGCAGAGTAGCAGTTCTAAGTAAATACTCTTGTATTGGTTTGTTAAATAACAACACTGGGTGTATGTGACTCATGTGAATACTTCTTTGGGGGATTTTAAATTTCGTTTCAAAATAGTATAGTACGTAGCCAGGGGAAAGTAAAGAGAAATGTATATTACAGATCACTCCAACACAGCCTAGGTTGTTTATATAATGCCAAGTATATGAACAAAAGTTAAACATTTATGCTTTTATGTATTTTGCGTATTTTATACATATATCTTCATTTTTATATGATTTTAAACAGATCTCTACACAGGTCTAAAAATTTATTTGTTAAGGATTTTATATACATTTATATGTATTTATAACCATTTACTGTGTTTCAACTTCCAAGCATTCCTGGGCTTCTTTAGATATCTCCTAAGAGAATCTCTCTCTCTCTCTCTCTCTCTCTCTCTCTCTCTCTCTCTCTCACACACACACACACACACACACACACACACATTTAGTAGATGGACACACTACCTTTCTTTTATTTATTTGTATGTGGTGCTGAGGAGCAAACCTAGTGCCACACACATGCCAGGCAAGCACTCTATCACTGAGCTACAACTCCAGCCCTCCTAAGAGAATTTCTGAATGAGCCTCAAATGTTAATATAATACTGGGTTTAACTGACATATACAAAAGACACCAGACATAACAAATAAGCTTCCTGTCTTTCACTCTCCCAAGCCTATAACTCCTCTATCCCTGATCAGGTTCTGCTTTTATTCACTTACATACTTATTCAAGAAGTGTTTGGAGAGCACCTATCATGAGTTTCTCACTCTGCTGTTTTCATTCCTTTTTAACTGCAAATTTTGTTTGTTCTTTTCATTCAACCTCCTTTATCAGCCTCTTTACATGTATGACAATTGTTTTTTGTGGTGGTGGGGGGCATGGGGATTGAACCCAGGGGTGCTTAACCACTGAACCATATCCCCAGGCTTTTTATTTTTTATCTTGAGACAAGTTCTCACTAAATCGCTTAGGGCCTAAGTTACTGAGGCTGGCCTTGAACTTGCGATCCTCCTGTCTCAGCCTCCTGGAGTCCCTGGGATTTCAGGCATACATCACTGTGCCTGGCTACAAGTATGACAATTTTAACTACTCTTCCTTGAATATCCTGTCCTTTCCCCAGAGAGAATACTGTGTTTTTATGATCCTCAGGGATTCTGCAAGCACTTTTGTTCTAAAAAATAATCCATTCTGACTTATTATAATTAATTCTTTCCAATATTTATTGAGATGTTTAACGGGCCCTAAAAATTAAGGTGAAACCCTTGACCATCATTTTTAAAATCAAGGAGACAATAACATGTAAACAAATGAGTTAAGTGGTAAATTTAAATACAAACACAGGTTTATTACCTTCTCTCTCCCCCAAGAGGGGAAAGAAGACGTGGTATTACATCTGACACAGTAATCTGCATGTGGTTGTTAGTCAGCAGGTATACAGAAGAGGAAAGGAACAAAACATAACTTACTGAGTGTGCGGAAAGGCCTCTGACTTGGTGAATGGGAGAAGAAACCAGGCTTCAATGCATTCGTAATCACAATGTCGAAAAGGTCTTCAAAATCATTCCTACAAAGCAAAGTTTTCATTAACTTATTTTAAGAAATTAGAAAAGGTGCATAGAAAGCAGAACTTAACCTCAGCCCATCTATTTATCACTGCATCATTTCTTATCTTTTGGTCAACTTTTATGCCTGTAATCCCAGTGGCCCAGGAGGCTGAGGCAGGAGGATTACAAGTCTGAAGCCAGCCTCAGCAATTTAGAGAGGCACTAAGCAACTTATACCCTATCTCAAAATAAAAAATAAAAAGAGCTAGAGATGTGACTCAGTGGTAAAGCACCCCTGGGTTCAATCCCTGGTACATCCCCTACTCAAAAAAGCAGCAGCACATTGACTCTAGGCACAGAGCTGGCTTTCTCCTGATGGTAATATTACACGGTAAATTCAATAGTTTCTAAGAGCTAGAAACTGGGAGAGACATTTTAAAATTTGGGGACTGAAATAATTTTGTTTGTTATATGGGTCTTAAAGAAACTAGCATTATAGCAAATCCAGTGACATTTCTCAGAGTACTCAAACCATTAAGAAGATATTTTATTTTGAAAATCAGTGTAGGCTTATAATATAGCAATTCTTAGAAGGCAACAATTAGTGACTTTAAATATGTATTTAGTATCATATTAAGGATATTTGGAATGGCAAAGGAAAAAAGTCCTTCTCCCTGACACTGGAGAAACAATATTTCCCCAATATTCCAGAATATTTTTACAACCCCAAACTGTGATAAATAGAAATAAAGATGAGAAGAAAAATTTGGGTTGTCTGTGCTAGTGAAAAAGGAGTTATAAGTCCTGACTGTTTATTCTGAAGCAAGTCCCGCTACCAGAGCAGCAAATGTCTCCCCTGGAGGCACCTTACAAGGCCTCCAGGACTTCAGCCTCAATTCAATTAAAGGATCTCAGCCTGCATATATTTCAGAAAGCAGATCTACTTGCAGATAAGTACACCACAGAATACACTGAACACGGAAATTCTGAGACTAAAAAATGTTGGTGGAGTCAGCTTGGAGGCTAAAACTTGCTCCACACACAGCAATTCTATGGGCTGAAATTTGAGGAGACTTTAGGGGAAATCTAACAGGCCACTGTAGAATCAAGCTCTGGGATATTTCCTTTTTGTTTTATTTTTCTTACAAGAATAACAATAAGTTAAGTATTAACAATTATTGAAACTTTACCAACTACTCTGCCTAATAATTATCCTGTAGTATGCTATTTAAACATCCCCTCACACCTAGGAGGTATTATTGTCCCATTTTTAAAATGACAAAATTATGACTTAAAAGTGGTTACAAAATCCTGCCCCAGGTCACACAGTCAGTTGCAAAGCAGGGCTTGAACCCGCATCTGTTTTATTTTAAAGTCTATTGCATTTATACTGCCTTGATTTTCACGGGTATCACTTCCATCCCTGGCAGTGGTGAATGGTATATGGCTCCATACTGAAATGGAGACAGAGGGGCTGTACTCCAGGAAAATGTCAGGAGTGTATTCTACAACTCAGAGTCTCTCAGTAATCATCCAAAGTTGAGAAATGAAATGCAGGGAAGACCAAAGGACCTTCCCCAAACTCTAAAGCCCAGATCATATGTTAGCTAAAAATATACTGGCCCCAGTTAATATTACTTTGCTAAAATGTATCAGGGGTAGGTTGCTATCAACAAATATTGAGGTATGTTATGAGAAAAAAATTATACTTGTCACTCAGCACTATTTAATATTTAATATAATAATATAGGTATAGTCCAACTCTTTTAAAAAGACACTGGTCTGGTTTGCTATCAATTTTATAAGACAATGAAAGTGGAATGACTCATTACTTACTTACCCAAGGATATATTCGCAGAGAAGTCTACAGTAATCACTGTGAGAACTGGTAATTAACAAAAGAATTTTCCCAGCATTCTTTAGCTGTCGAAGCCATTTTCTTACAGATTCAGGACAACTGTGTAAATATTTGCCTGGATCTCTCTTTATTTCTGGAAAATATAGTCCAGAGTTTTCTGAAAAATAAAAACACCAAGATTTCTTTTTAAAAATATTTTGACTAAGCATATTCTCTAACTAAACTCTTTCAAAACTATAAAATTAGAAGAATAAAAACTAGATTCAAACACTCTAGCAATAATGCCAATACTAACTACTTTCTAAAAGTGTTTTTTTGTTCTTTACTTTAAAAAATGATGGTTGAAAACCAGCCTCAGCAACTTAGTGAGTTCCTAAACAAGTTAGTGAGAGACCCTGTTTCAAAATAAAAATAAACAGGGCTGGGGATATGACTCACTGATTAAGCACCCCTGGGTTCAATCCCTGGTACCAAAAAAAAAAAGATGGTTGATAATGTCAGTTGATCATATTGGTTGAATATTAGATGAGAATAAACTGTTGAAACAGTGAATACAATATCATCAACATTTCCAATTGGTATTTGGACACCAATTGATTAATAAATATTCTTTTTCAGAGGCACAGTAGGTTTGTTTTTGTTTTGTTTAATTTTTCTAATGGAACACTTACCACACATGAGAGCCAATTTACAGCCTCTGAGAGGCACTGTGATGTCAAATGGAAAAAAAAAAAAAACTGGACCAAATAAGCCAGAGAAAGCCAGAAGTCCTAGAGCTGATGGAGAATACTGAAAGATTTGAGTCACTGAACTGGGACCGCTGCCTCTGCCCTGCTGGGTCTCTCATAAGTCTACAGTTTTAGGCTAGGCTCTAAAGTGGACAGATGGAGGCAATATCTCTAGGTGTCGTGGTTAGACCATCCCTAGTACTTGACGCAGTGCCTCAAAAGCTGTGCATACAGCAGATAAGTTCAGATTTGGCTGAGATGCTTCTAGATTCACATGGTATTTTAGAAACACTGTTCTTTGAGCATGATAGTACTAATAAGCAGAGAAAGAGAATCCAAGTCCTTACTTTCTTTAACTGCTAGGAAAAGGACACAGGAAGTGATAAAACAATGGGTGAATGTGCTTGTACTGAATGACACACTGTAATAAGTACACATGAACTACACCTGCAACCTTAACAGTGTGGTACACTTGAAATAATGGAAAAGAAGGTTATATTACAAGAATGTCAGGACAGAAGAGTCTCTAAGTGAAATAAATAAGCAAAAAGAAAAAAGCAGAGATAGTAAATAATTTGTGGCCTGCCTACCCAAGTATATTCCCCCTCTTCTTTGCTAGAGAGTGCTCAGGTTTGTTTGAGGTTTCCTCCTCCTCTCGGGGCTATGTGTGTGCCCAGGGAGGATCTGGGTCTCTATCAGTCTACACTCATAATGGTAACTCCCTCCACCCACCAGCAAATTGTTTGAGAAGGTAAAGGGGACCCAAGCATGGCCAATCAGAGCAGAACACTTTTGGGTGGCCCCTGGAGTAATATACATCACCAATACACGGGTGAATCTTCCTCTTCTAGGACTGGATTTTTGCTACAATTTTAAGTTCTACCTAGAACTGCAACAGCTATTTTCAACACAAAGCACAAGTCCACCATACCAGGGATGACAGAGTAGAAATACGAATGGCAACCTGGGCTCTGTTGATATTGTGGGTCTCAAATTAAGCCACTGAACCAACTACCACTGGAAGTACCACTCAACCTCTGGGGATGGTTTCTGGTCATGTGAAACCACTCAATTTAATACACCAACTATTTGTAGCCTAAAACATCTTGATTAAGAAAATAATACATTGAAAGAATATTATAACCAGAACTCCCACCCTCCCCCTAAAAACCCACCTTAACAAACAGGCAAATATAACAATATGAGAATAATATTCAAATATCAGAAGTCTAAGAACAAAACCAGTCTGTGCCCTCCTGTATTCTGTCCTACAGGTACATTTGTGAGCAATTCTCTAGGCTCTCCTAATTTTCCGGAAACCCTGCAATGGCCCTTACAAAAGGTAAAATATATTTTGCTTTTAAGCAAAAAACAAAAGGCATTAAGAAAAGGCCAACTTAAGAAGAATATGTTAAAATGAAATGGCTGAGAACAGTTTGATGAGTGGGTGATTATCAATCATAATAAAATCAAAGAATTTATTATACCTAAGAGAGTCATACGTGAAATTATTTGACTCAGAAAAACAGATTTGGTAGCAAAAGGAATTTTATAGGTTGAATAACAAAAGATTTATAGTGGGAGGGCTGTGGCTGTGGCTCAGTAGTAGAGTGCCTGCCTAGCATGTGTGAGGCACTGGGTTTGACCCTCAGCACCACATAAAAATAATTAAACAAAATAAAGCCACTGTGTCCATCTACCAAAAAATTAAAAATAAAAAATTATAGTGTGTAATGACAAATATATTTATAGACTTTAATACTTGTGTACTCAGAAAACAAATGTTTACTGTTATTTTTTTCTAAGATATATGTGCTTAGTGCCATCTAGTGATCAAAATATAAATTACGATTGAAAAGCAACTTGGCTGAGCATGGTGCCATACACCTGTAATCCCAGCTACTGGGGAGGCTAAGGCAGGAATCTCGCTCACAAGTTAGAAGCCAACCTGTGCAACTTAGTGAGACCTGTCTCAAAATGAAAAATAAAAAAGGGCTGGGTATGTAGCTCAGTGGAAGAGTGCCCTTGGGTTCAATCCAGTACTTGGGGGGGGGGGGGGGAAGCAACTGTTAATATTTCTAAATGAATAAAATGAAGCATATACACTTAATTTAAATTTCTCACCTAGATTAATTTTATCTCTTAATAGACCTAATTTAAAAGAGAAAATATAATAATCTAATTAGAAAATTATACTCTGAAATAATATTGGAATTGTCTTTATTTTGTTCACAAGACACTGAAGAGAACAAGTACAAATGGATACCAATGGTAGATTAGGAGCTGCTACTACAAAAAATCACTGGCTGTCACTGGCAAACATCTTTTTGTCCCTTTGTAACCTCAAATTATTAAGGTTTAAGAGATATAATTACACAAGTACACATTCATCTTTTTTAAAAAAATAAATAAAACTAGTAAATGAAAGGAAAAAAAGTTAAATATACTAACTGAATTATAATTTTTATTAAATATTTTCCCCAAAGAGACTGGAAAGTCTTATAGGTAAGGAATACATTTTTCTGCTTGCATGGAACAGGCATTCAATGCATGAATCCCTGCATTAGTCAGGAGCAGAAATACAAACACTTATGTTTATTTATATTCAAAGTAATTATATGATTTGTAATACATACTCCAACAGTGACAAAAATTATATTATTCATACACTATCAAAATCACCCAAAATACCCTTCCATTATTGCACTCTTATCAAAAATGTTTAATTATGATACTAACAGATAAATACTGATTAGACAAGATAGAATTTAGACCTAAGGTGGTAAGAAATGGTGTTGTTTGTTCTTAACTCACAAAGTAGCCTGTGTTTTCACTCCAAAAGGCATTCTACTTCATGATCCTTTTATGTAACTCATTTTCCAGGCCTTTCCACCCCTCTTATATCCTCAGATGCTGGTATTTTTTTGTGTGTCCCAATGAGATTAAGGGTAATTGTTTTAAAAAGCTGGTTCTAAAGAAAAAAGTGTTTTAGCTCTCTTATGTTAGAAATTTGGTTATTACACTGTCATGGAAATAAAAATGTTGCAGAAGTCTGATGTTGCAGAAGTCTGATGTGTATATAAAATGCCAGCATCAATCATACAGGATTTAGGGACCTCTGGTGGTTTTAAATAAAAAAGAGCATTAAATTGGATATTAGATATTAGAAATACTTCCTTATTTTTATAATACCACATCACTATTTCTGTCCTCACTGAATAAGGAAGCATTTTTCTTGTTAACTGTACCACTACTTTTCCTGTAATCTGCTTGTTTTCAAAACTGTGGTCCAAAGGAGTGGAGATGCTGGGATGCTAACATCTCCACTGTCAGCATCCAGCTAAGGTCTGCCGCTATTTCCACTACAGAACATCATTTAGGAGATTTAAATATTTACAGCATTTCCCAGTTATATAAGAACATGCTAGTAAACAGATAAAGTGTTTAGCTATGAATTATTTAAATGTGCTTGCTGTAAGGATGATCCAATTTTCTAATAAAAAGTAAAATTCTTTCTTGGCTAAGACTGAAATGTTTTTTCAAGAATTAAAGACATAAATTTCTTTTGTTTATGGGGGCAAAGAATGAAATTAAAATTTAATATTAAAACATTTCCTGTTTATGTTTCTATATGATTTATATCAATCTAATATTTTATTTGTCAATATAGAAATCTCAAATAGTTAAAGTGAAAATTTATATGTTAAATATAATGGTTGAACTAGAGAAATGAAATATATAATTTATTGAAAAACATAATTTATAAAATTTACCTTTTACCAGTATCTGTCTTCTATCTCTGTGATTTAATTCACGTACTTGGATCCTTCCCTAAAGATCCTGATTTAGTGGGTCTAGACTAGGACCACAATACTGTTGCTTTTTAAAAAGCTCTCCAAGTATTTCTAATATGACATTGTGATTAAGAATTATTGCTCTAAGCTAGGCGCTATGGCTATGCCTGTAATCCCGCCAGCTTGGAAGGCTGAGGTAGGAGGATTGCAAGTTCAAAGCCAGCCTCAGAAAAAGCAAGGCGATGAGCAACTTAGTGAGATCCTGTTTCTAAATAAAATACAAAATAGAGTTGGGGATGTGGCTCAGTGGCTGAGTTCCCCTGAGTTCAATCTCTGGTGCCCCCCTCCCCCCAAAAAGAAAAAAATATATTGCTCTAAAATATAAGAACTAGGGTTCTTAACTATTATCTATATATTTTATATGATTCACTGAGAATCATAGGTTCTCAGGGAGCAAGTATTTCTTAATTTTATAGCATATTATCTAATATATAGCCATGAAGACAATGAAGTCCGTCAATAAATATTAACTGCCACTGATTATATTAAAAGTCATTGTGGATAGTAGAGGGAACTGTGACCAAACACAGAGCAGGCTCAGCGGCCTGCTGAGGGGCAGAGCCGCCCCCCACCCCCC